TCCCCTCCCCTGCGTGACGTCCGAAGGCCGCTCTCTACCTCCCCTCGGCCGGCCCGGCGGACCAGGCGTCCCCGGGGCCTCCGGGGCTCTTCGGCCGCCTTTCCCTCCGGGCAGCGCTCCTCCGGACCCCTCCGATCCGTCGCTGCTCTTTCTGGCCGGCGGTGCCCAGAGCCGGCAGCGGGACGCCAAACGAGGCCTTCCGCGGTCTGGACTGTGCCGTGCGCTCCGCGAGCGCGCCCCAAGGCGGCGCCGGCCTTCGGCCCCGCTCGGCCCCGTCCCGCCGCCTTCAGCCGCTGCTTGAGCCCGCCTGGGGCTCGCGGATCTCCCCTCTCCCCTCTCCCGGCCGGAGTCGTCCTAGTCCCCGGCTGAGCAACCAGGGCCCGGGACGGAGCCGCGGGGAGTCCGTTCGGCGCTCCCCTCCGAGCCCGAGCGGAGCCATCGCGGGCCGCCTTGGGCGCGCCGTTCACCAGTTGTGAATCCATCCAGCAGTGGCGTCCCCTGACCCGCACTTTTTCAATTTTATGAATGTAAATACTTCTCTTGGAATATTGCTCCTCATGCAGTCTCTTTGGCAATTTTAGGGCTTAGGCCCCTGCGTAGAAAACCAGCTCCCTCATATTCTTCATACAACAATCACAACATATTTAAGAACCGTTAAAAATTCATTGATTTCATCCTGGAGTTCATGGAAGAAGCTGAGTGCTGTCTGGGCAACACTGCAGAATCTCAGCCGGGCAAGGAACGCGCTTCCTTTTCTATCCATCCCACTGTCTCCTTTATCCCCTGAATTCTTTTCCTGGGAATTGCAGCAGAGAATGGGATTGCGTGTTCTGCCGCTTTTACCGCTTGGGGGATTGTAAGTTAGCTGATCTTTATTAGTTCGTTATGCTTTAGTAATTTTATTGGGTAAAGATTAGTAATTAATGGTTGTTTTTAATCATTCTGATGTTTTTTAGTTGTTGTTACGCACCTTGCTGAATGGCATGCAGTAAACAACAGCATCATCATCATCATCATCATCATCATCATCATCATCATCATTGCCACCACCATCGTCGTCATCATCTCTTGCCATGGCCTGATCAACCAGGGATGTCCTATGCCCATTTTTCTTTTCCTGGCATTTATTGTAGTGGGGTGTGGTGGGGGGCACGGGGTACAAGAGAGAGCGAGAACGCAAGAGAGCATAAGCGTGCCCTTAGACTACCGTCCACACAGTCAATCCTGGCAGGCTAGCTTAGGAGCCATGCTCTGAGTCAAAATCCAGGCCCCAAACACAAATGAGCACCGGCTGCTCCGGAGGCCTGGAAGAGCTGCGCTGCCCCAGTTCCGCTGCTGTCACCCTCTGCTGGCAGCCTGGGGAGGCCAGGGCCCTGGGTGCGACTCGAGCCTCTGCCCAAAGCCCTCCAAAGCAGCCCCAGATAGAGGGCCCCTCCCGCTCCTTTGCAGTCCTTCCCGTGAGCCCCGGGTTTCATCAGCTGAAGGCAAACAGCCTTCTCCTGGCAAACATGGTCCGTCTGCTCGGTTCCTTGCACTGGTCCAGCAGCCTTCTGTTCAAGCCACCTTTGGTTACATCACTTCACAGGGTGGAGGTGAGGACTCAGGCACACTGAGTGGTCCACCAAGCAAACAGCTTCCCTTTTGGAAAGACCTCTGGAGGTGCATCCGCCATTCACTGACTGAACAAATGGCCCACCTCTTTTCCTGCCTTCCGATCCTACTTTCCTCCTCGATCGCTTGGGGTTCCACCCGCTTCGCAGTGCGATTGAAAACTGGTCCGGGAGAAGCCAATTTTGCCTTCTCTGCCCTGCTTTCTTCGTCCATCTGTCCAGAGAAGCTGCAAAGAATGAAGCTCTGCCGTGCGAAGCACAGGTGCACGACCCGAATTCCCAGCATTCCACGCTATCCCCGTCCACCCAGGTGCAGCCCAGACCCTCCCCAGAAGTGGGTTCCAAACTGAACATTGTAAAGGGATAATCAGATGTGCAACCAGAAATAAATCACGCCCCCATATCAAACGATAGTCACACGTAAAAGAACTGAAGTCAAAGGCAGTGTCTGTCCCAGCATCTCTCCCTTGGGCTGGAGCATGCCCTGAACAGCCAAGGGAAGAGAACCGCCACTTTCGCAGCTGCAGTATTAATTGGTAATACCTTGGCTCGTGATGCTCCAGCCCCGGTCTCCCTGCTTTCCGGCTGCCAGGCATGCAAAAGCCCTTGGCTCAGAGAGCTCAGCCTCACCCCGCAGCATGCTGGCTGCCAGGGAGGGGGAAGAGAGCCACCATGCGGGTGCGAGGCCCGCTGGATGATGGCCCTGGCTTTGGGAGGCAATGGTTTGGGGCTTTGTCCGAGGAACAAAGTGACTGGTCCCTGCCAGACTCTCCAAGGGGACTGGAGAACGTGCCCTCTCCAAAAGTGATGGACGGATTGATTCCTGCAGTCATTCCATTTGGACACCGCCTGACTCCAACCAACCTGTGTTGCTCCTGCAATTTTTCTTCTAGAAGGGAAACGCTTGGGGCCTCCCAGGGAAAGATCATGGTGAACGCCTCCCCACGTTCTGCTCTGGGGTCTCCCTGCAGCATTGCCCCGAGAGAGGAACACCTCTGCTTTTGACCCTTCTGACCCTCCTCCTCTGCTCTTGTCCCTGCCTGCAGGTATGGAGAGGATGAAAAAGCAGCAGTTGCAACATGGAGGAAGAAGGAAGAAAGAAGAGGAGGAGGGGGGGGGAAGGGGAAGGAGAAGGAGAAGGAGAAGGAGGTCTTCGCAAGGTCCTGGCAATGCAGCCTGGTGCCACCCGTGACCCCTGAGGTCCAAGTGGTGCCTGGGCTGAGCCTTCCAGATTGCAGCATAGAATTCAGCCCCCGAACCCAGCCTGGGGACCTCCACCACGTTCTCCCTGTGGCAGCCAGTGCTGGCTGGGGGAATGGAATGCAAAGCCCCCACAGCTGTGAACGGGCGCAGGGTACACTGACGATGTTCCCTACTTGGGTCATGAAACGTCTGCAGGAAAACCACCCAGCTCAGAGCGCACCAAGGACTCCACAGCTGAACCCTGAGCTACGGAGATGCTCTTCTGTTGGAGGGCACAGGGTGTTCTCTCCCGACTGCCCAGCAGTGGCCAACAAGTCATACAGGCCGGAGCTGGAAAGTTGGCAACCCCAGGGCTCTTTCACTGCAAAGCCCCGGCCTGGCAGAAATGAACAGGCAGGAAGGCTGCTTGTCTTTTGGCTTTGGTTTATGACGTGGAGTGGCTGTTGAAGGACACGTTACAGAGAGGTCACCACCAGCCCCGCCCGATTTCCTCCTGATTTCCTGGAACTGTTTCTCCTTGTTCCCAGCAGTGCAGCCGTGCAGGCAGGCTGCCCCTTCAGCTTGCCCTTCTGGCTGCCAATCCGACCTCTGGCGCTTCTAATGGTGCAGCAACTTCCTTCCTGGGAGAAGACCTGAAGCCTGCCCGAGAGAGGAGATGTGGTGCCCCTATTCCAAAGCAGCTGATTCTTCTTCAGAGGGAGAGCCGGTGGCCGTGGGGCCCACCGCAGAAGACCACCCCAGCCCTTTCAAGCGCAGCATGAACCAGGGTATGAGCACAGGGGCTTCTGCCACCAGTGCTTGCAAGCCTTGCTCCATCTGCACCCACGCCTGGATGGCCTTGGGGTTGGACATGGCGGCCACCATTTCTGGCCTCTGCATCTCCTGGGAAAAATGCAGCAGCTGCTGCTGGATCTGCTCCTGCCGGGCAGCCTGCATCCCTTCTGAGGCCAGCAGCGCATTCTGCATGAGGGAGAACATCATGCGCTTTGTGTAGGCATTGCAGAGGTTTACGATCAGGGCCTGGATGCCCCCCACGTTGCACAGTCCTGCCCCAGGGGTGGCCACAAGGCTTGGCAGGGAAGAGTTGGGCCCAAGGGGACCGTGAAGGCTACTGAAGACGCCACCTTCATCTCTGCACGAGCTATTGGTGTACATGCTGGTGGAACTGTGGAAGGTGGGGAGAGAGCCAGTGCTTCCCAGGTGAAGTCCCTGGCTACCCCCAACTGTGTGTTCTGGACAAGGGTTCCTTGCCAGGGTGGCATAAGAGCTAGAGGTGGCAAGCAGATCCTGGCCTGCATTCAGTCCTGGCTCCTGAACATCACCGTTGAGTTGTCTCAAGGGGTTATCCCCACCAGGGGTGTTGCTCTGAACACTAATCAAGAGCGGGTCTGGATTCTTCAGGTCCTGTATCATGTCAGGGTTCTTTGCGAGGTCCATTATTTCTCTCATCTTGTCCAGGATCACCCGCATGATGCCCATATTATTCAGGATGTGGCAGATGGCAGGGAACTGCTGAGCCAGCTGCTGGACCTCTGGGTTGGCCAAGATCACCTGCCGTACCTTCTGAACGATCATCTCTGAGGTAGGCATCTGCTGCCAGTCAATACTGGAGGGACCCACCTCTGGGGCTCCCCATGAACCCTGAGTGCTTGGGTTAAAGGCAGGCAGAGTAAGGCTGGTGCTGGTTGGTGTCAGGGCACAGCTTGAGGTCCTGAGCAAGTAGGGTGACTGAGGACAGTCTTCTGGGTCTCTCTTCAGGGATCGGATCACCAAGTGGACAGTCATCCCATCGCTGATCCCACACTGCTGGAGGCTGTGCTGATCCTTCAAGATCCTCCCAAAGAACACCAGTACCAACTGTCCAGTCTCACAGCTGAAATGCTTAGAAAGTTCCTCCTTGAATTGCTGGATGGTGGTTTGCTGTGGGAGCACAAACTGGGCGCTGCCCTTGGGAGATTTTGCAGTGACACAGATGAAGTTGGGGTTGGAGGCCAGGACTGGGCAGCCAACAGTGGTGCCTTCTTGGTGTATGTTCATGGCCTCCATGATACATGGAGGAGCAGGAGGAAGGGGAAGAGGAGGAGGAGGGGCCTGCATGGGAGAAACAGGACAGAGATCTCTTGTCTTGCTGAGCCAAAGGAATCTGTTGGTGTCAAGTCCCCAGGATGGATTTATTTTCTCTGTCAGGATGGCTACCCGGCACACTGCAAGCAAGCCAAGGGTGGATGTCAGAGCCCCCTCCCAGGCCTCCCCTTCTCTCTCCTCCTCTTACCTTCCTTCCTTCTTGCTGAGCCAAGGAGCTGCTCTCTCCATTGTCCCAGCCAGGTGGGGGTCACTATGACATCACAAGGGATGTCACTGCCGTGGCAAAACTGGTCAAAAGAGCACCCGGGAGCCAGTCTGGGGTCCTGAGCTGACTTGAAAGGCCAAGTGCTCTGGCCCTCAGGCAGGGTCATCTCTGGACCTCTGCAAGAATCCTCTTCTCGGGGTTAGAGGGCTCAGGGAATGTGGGGGGACTCTCCAGGCCAGAGAGGGCAACCTTTACCCCTCCAGAGCCTGGAATACAACTTTCATCACTATTGGCTGGAGCTGATGGGAACGGGTTGCCCAGATCTGCCAGCCCTCTGACCTGTCTAATGAGATGGGGTTCATCCCATAATAGGCTGGGCGACAGGCTTCCCATATGGAGAAACATCATCTTAGAAAGGTGCTTCTCTGCTAGCTGAGCCCTACAATCCCCCCCAAAGTAGGCTGATTTTTAAAGTTTGGGGAGATAAATAATTCAGCTCACCATTATATTCTGACTGAATATTAACCCCCCACCTAAGTGTTTGACAGTGGAGTCAATAATCCAGGTGAGGAATGGACTCCCTGCCGAGGGTGCTCTGACGCATTGCCATCAAACGACTGGCACAGATATGTAGGAATGGCCCCAAACATGGATGGGCTTCCTTCTGCTGGAGGTGTCAAGCAGAGCTAGAATGCCACCTGTCTGGGAGGCTTCCATCTGGGATCCTGGACTGAACAGAGGGTTGAACTTCATGGCCACAAGGGACCCTTCCAAAACTGAGGATTCAAGGGTCCTATTTATGTTCAGAATTATTCACATCTTGTTTTGGAAGAAAAATCTTGCAAAATGGTTGGTCATTTTGCAAATGCATTGAGGAGGAAGGAAGGGAAGGAAGGAAGGAAGGAAGGAAGGAAGGAAGGAAGGAAGGAAGGAAG